CATTTACTCAAGATTTTAACCAATTTCTCAAGTATCTAATGCTGGTAATGGTATCAATGATACTTTACTGGTCTACTTATAGGACTCAAAAATGAACTTGAGGGAGAGTCTAAAAAACTCTCTGCTTTGCCACTATGCATGATACTTTACTGGTCTACTTATAGGACTCAAAAATGAACTTGAGACAGAGTCTAAAAAACTCTCTGCTCTGCCACTATGATGTATAGGGTTGGCATTGGCTCTTGGGCTGATTTAAGAGTCAAATTTTTGGGCTACGGCAGCGCTCCCCCTCACGGCCCACGGCTCAAGTTGTCACTAACAAGTAACACTAAGTCTTTACTTTTTATTTATTTTTATGGGAGTACTAGAAACTGATCCATGAGGCACTAAATAATGTTTAATTTGAGCCTAACCATTCTGAAAATCGCTGAAAAGAAACACACAAACAGGAAAAAATAGGAAAGAGAGAAAAAAATAAATAAAGTAAACAATATATAAATACAATATAAAAAAGGGGTATAAATTATTTGAATAGACTCCCGATTTACCCCGCCCGTCTCTTATTATCCCGTTTTGACGGTACAGACTGGACAGATTCATAGAACTTGACAGAAGCAACAAAGTCGGAAAACAATCAGACCCTGTATGCGATGCATCGCAACTTCGCAAGTTATTCGCAACGCGATTTCCGGAATTCGGTGATCGGTCCATTATTCGACCGTCAACATGCAGGGTGCGCAGCCGTAGACCAGCAAATTAACGCTCAAATCAGCCCTGGAGCCAACATCAACCATCTAAATGCTATAGATATTGTCATCCTGGCACCTAAGCAGCCGTAGTAAATTGACCTATCTCACCACACGAACTTTAAACCAACACTGCTTCAGCACACAAGCTGCTACTCCACATAGTTAACGGTCAATACGTTGTTCTCCAATGCTTTATAACCCATACCATCCGCAAGACGTTAACCCCGCGTCACTGTTTCCCTGTCTTACTATCCCCCAGCATCTTCTTCCCCCCCCCCACACTTACCCCGACTCTCCACCATTATCGCATGACCAACTGGAGGCTTTTCTCGCAGACCTTTGATGCTTATCCGAATTAGGTTTGGTTAAGTTAGCTTAGGTTAGTTTACAACTCCTATAGATCCTCTTTTCATAGCTAAATGCAGTCAAGTGAGCAGAAACTAAGAAAAGCCGTCCGGCAGTCAGTGAAAAAAGGCGATGAGACGGGGTATGCGTGGAGGTAGAGTTATGCCGGGGGAAAACAGCTGCGACGAACGGACGGGCTGGAGTGCTGGCTGTGTATCAACAGCGGTATGGCGTAGGGAGTTGCTTACCGAAAATCGTGATTAGGTTAGACGGCATGGGATAGAGCTGTTGGATGGTTTTCAATACGGCATAGAGCGATTGTATTGGTGGCTTACTTCTCATTAGCTCGCTGGTTAATTTCCATGAAGGGGATTTGTACTATTGGCTTTTAACATATAATCCCTTAGTCTACTCTGCCCTTTAGCAGGCTTACGCACGGAAAGGAGGATGAAAGATATGCTGCTGGTCTTGGGCAATGCTGGCCTCTGGCATGCATCCCAGCATGCATTCCAATTTAAGATCTAACGAAACAAAAATGCGGAAAATTACAGATTAGAACATAATACGGGTATTGGTTTTAAAATTCGGTAACATTTTCCTTACAAAATAAATATAAAAATTTATGAAAAAGGCGAAGACTAGATTTTTCCGAAATTATAGTAATTATGATTACAAATAATTTCGCAGGGTCCGTCACTTCCGATACTTGCACTCAACGCAATCGCGACCGCATGACACAACCGCATAAATGCCGATTTAGTGTTTTTTGTTAGTCACAATCGAATGTTTTGTAGCCACAAAAGAACATTTTGAAGATTCCTAATGAAATATAATTGTAGATTTGGCTCAACTTCTTTTCTCCAAACTTCACCGATAAGAACAAACATGTAAGAATATGTTAAGTTAGCAACGCTCATTCGCAATACTTCTGATCAATTCGAATCAGTTTTAGTTAAAAAATATTGTGAAGAATAGGACACAAATTTTCTAAACATGATTCAGCTGGTCGTGGTAATGGAATTTTGGCCATTCGAAGCTAACAAAAACCTTTCTCCACAGCACAATATACTATCCCAGCTCAGTATGAACAAATAAATGTACCTTCTCTTGCGCATTTTTTTAGACCGAAGGACCACACGAAACTTCAGGCAGCGATTCGAAGGTTGCACGCAAACAAGTTTTATACAAATATTATAATTTCTCTGAACAAAATAAACGCGATATTATACAGGAAGCCAACATTAAAGCGCATTTCAATAAATAAATATTAAACAAACAAAATACATTGATATGATGAAAGACTGCCAAAGTTTTATGAAAAAAATTAATTATCAAAAGCCATTCTCTCACTTGCATTTGCTCGCATCAGATAACTTGTACATGGTTATATATGGAAAAAAATTCTCAATATTCAGGAAAGGAAGGGCAATAACTACATGGAAGTGATCCAATTTGTAGGAAATATAGGATAAAGCTGCCTCTTTATTAGCTTATGGATCTAAATTGACGATCCTGTCTGAACTTTGTCTTATGACAAAAACATTTTTTGATTAAAATTATGCATACTCCGACATACCTCAATTATGATAAATCTTACATCAAGGTAAAAATTTGCCTTAACAAACAGTTTAGTCTACGGCAGTTATCTTTCAGTAACATAGAATGTTTAATATTCATCATTACCATAGAACATTAAACATACCTCTGAACGTGATCTTATTTATTAGACCTCTATAAATCGGCTACGGCAACTGGAACTAAATATAACAATTTTGGACATATTGCATCGTTTGACTTTCCTTCATGAACTGGAGATGTAAGCAGACGAGTTTTACCAATAATACGAGCAAAACCGAGAGCATTTACCAAATTTCTATTAATAAATACGAGCATAAATTAGCAGGGAAAAATAAATTTAAAATAGGTATTTTCGCTATAAAAACGTAGAAAGTTTCAAAGCCACACCGGAGACTGAAATGATGTCTAGAATCATTAGTATGAAGCCATTAATATATAATTAATATATACGCCCAGGCAACTTATCAACACATGGATCAACAAATACAAATTTTACTACGTTTTTCAATCAACTTAGAAGAGAAGAAGTAAGAGCATAAGAATCGTGACTTGACCGATCGTATCATTTTCGTAGCACATAAATCAAGCGGTGCTTCAAAGAAAGAAAAAAATTTCATGAGTAACGAGATTATCTTGATGGGACTTGATAAATGAAATTCACTGTCATCAATATAGTTCACAAAAATTTGCAGTTTTAAAAAGTGTGTTAATTGTTAGCTCATTTGCTTTATTCTGCCAGAAGAAGCGGTAGCCCAAATTTATTTCATTTTCGAAACTCGGAAAAACAGGGAGTCAACATACAGAAACAATTTCAAATAAGAATTAGGTTAGAGCAGATACAAGTCGTTCTTCATGTTCGCAATGGAAATGGTGCATTCACCTGTGCAAGAACACGAGCATGAGTACTTCGATACATCGTCTGACATAACTGAGGTAGGAAGACGTCACTTAGAACATTCGTGGCTAAGCAACTAAGAATTAGGTTAATGCGGAGCAATAAAACCGCACACATAACAACTGATCACAACTTTCAACAAATATTGATGCAATTACAGCGATGGCGGACCTTATTAATTAGAAATTAAGTGGACACAAACGTTATTATTTCATTTAGCCTCGGAAGTGATGCTTCACATTTACATTTTCATTGCCCGTGCACACTTTACTAAGAGGCACAGAAGAAATCAGATTGTATTGCGGGAGAGAAATGTGATAAATTAAATTCGCCTTGTTCGCATTCAGTTAATATCTTTCCGCATTAGAGATACCCATAAATATGGGCATAAATCAGCTCGGCGTAGCATCAGTTTTAAAATAACTTGTTTATTACTCTAGTAAGCGCAGGATGTTGCTTCATAGCCGCGGTCAGAAACGACGCTTAGTCTTATGACTTAAAGGGTAAACATTTGTGAGGTAAGAAACATGTCTCCATTTCTTTCTGCAAGTGGATACTTGCTGGACTAATCGCGACCATTAATGATTAGGCACAATATTGAAGGAGCTGCATGGTGTTCATGTGACCACAAATCAAAAGGTGCCTCAATAGATATACACATCATTATAGAATTAACATTTGATAATATAATGTCCATAATATAGAATCAACATTTGATGAAGTTGGCTCACGAGTTTTTTTTGGCACACCCCGAATATATAATTTAAATTTAAAGTAAAAACCCTTATTTGGATACAGATCATTTTAAATATCATTTAACCAGGCAATAATGTAATATTTATAAAGAGAAGTAACATTATGCTTCAATGTACAGCACTACGGAGAAGCACTCGAACGCTAGCGTTTAAAAAACTTAGCCTCAGAACTTTGATCATTGATGTAAAATAATCACTCAGGGAACCAACAAATTACAAGTAAAAATATTACAGTCACTTCACAAACATGAAATCCTAAAGTAACAAACTAGCAGAGCTTTAGTGAGGAAGAGAGTACAAAACTGAGAGCTGTACGAAGCTGACATTTGCCTTCCGTGCTCTGTGCAAAGCTGACTGACCGTTGCTAGCTAAAAATAAAAGCTATTTCATAAAAAAACGATTTATAGTGAATAGAATTTAGCAATTTCATAGTCATTAATATAGTCCATAAAAATATTCTCAGTTCTAAAATGTTCGAGAGGCGCCCGGCGGTCTAAGTTTTAACGCCCGCGCGCAATGTAAGTAACAAGTTCAATTATCATCCTTTATGTTCAAACATAAGATCAACACTTTTAATGGTGTTGCTTTAGCTTACTTTAGAGTATAAACTTTATAATCCATTACCTTCAAACTGGAATAAATAATGTACAGTATGAAAACACATCCGAACTTCTGGTTGACATGTAGCGAAAATATAGCTTGGATAGAAAGCTGTCGCTTTTCATGGTGAATGTAGTGTTAACACTCAAAAAATGTTCGAAGCTCAAGTTGTAATGTCATGTAAAAATACTCTCAATTTCTAATAAATAGATACATTTGGATTCCGCAACAGATAAAAATCTACATTTTTTATTCATAATTAGTCAACTACATCTCAATACGTAGTACGCGTCAGCAAATAATAATAATATATAAATGATTTCTGCAATATATATACATCATTTTTATCACCAACATCTGAATTATGCAAAGTAAAACCTATTAAGAACTATAGATTAGGTACGAAAATACATATTTATTTAAACAGACACTGACTTTGACCTTATGTATCATTTTCTAGGAGAGCATCATCAATTGGTAAAGTACTATCATCCATGAGCCAGGATCAGCCTATGGTACACGACGTGCTCTCTACCATGTGGCCGTCCGCGTTCCGGTATTTAGTGGTGACGCATTTCTGCGTAGCGCCCGCCCTGTGCTGGAAACCTCTACCGTCGGAGCTGTGATGGCCGAAACCATCATCAAACATGGTGAAGAAACCATCGTTATCCTGGAAGAATCGGTGCTGCTGATGGTGTCTGGCGTGGTGCTGATGGTGCTGGAACTTGGCTTGGCTGTGCTGCTGTTGGTGCTGCTGGAAGTGACCGCCACCGAAGAAACTTCGCCCTGAACCAAAGTGATCGCCAGAGTCCGCGTTCCATAGCGGGTCAAACACGATGTCTTCGAAGAAATCATCATTCTGAAATAAAGAGAGACGTTCATGCTACGTATACGAATGAATGTAATAGAAACTTCAAAAATAGTTGTTTTTTATCCATACTTTCTAACACTTGTGTCGCCGCCACGTCCTAATTATCGTTCATATCATTCAGTATAAAAATTAAACGATTAGATTATTCAGGCAATATTTTTACTGCCGGAACGTCGTAAACGGGATGGAATATATGTTAAGTAACTGCTTCATGCACTCCTGATTTGTTCAGTCATAGTACTGCCTTTCGCACAGTTCGAACTCTGGAAACAGGAACGACTTAAATGTAATACTGAAAATTATGATTCGAAAGGAAAAATTTCATAGGTGGTTCATATTTATCGTCAGTTATCCGTCATAATAGCTTTCAAATTAAATAATTTGAGAATTCATAAATATAGCCGATAATTTGAAACTGACAAGAAATTTGTTATCTTGAACAAATGATAAATAACTATGGAACGAGTTGTAAATAAACGAATTTCAATTGCTTAGTGCTATTAAATGCAGATAAATCCAGTTAAAAATATTTCAATAACTTGGATGCGCTAGTCCAACTATATTTCACCCATTTAAATCTAACTCAAGGTTTCTTTTCTCCAATGCAATTGCTTTAATTTATAATGATAATTATTGATCACTCCGCGCACAAGCAAAAATACCATCATACGACGAAAGGCCGAATGTTCGGAAACATTTTGTACAATTACAGCGACAGATGCTCTAAATAAATTTCATTGTCGACAATTTATTTTACGATTTCGATTTCTTGCATCATTTAATAGCACTCATGTTAGAATGGATGAATTTTCCTGGCTTGTTTTCAAGGTTACAGTTTATTATTTAATTGCAGGAACTATTAAATTATGGGCGCGTAACTTTGATGCAAGTGCAAGATAACAGAATTCATCGCTACTGACCATTATCGATCACAAAGCAGCTAACTGGGCACTTTTTCAAGCTGATCACATGTACGTACATGTTTGGTAAATACGAAAATTTAAAACTGACGTCATGAACTTGAAACGGCCTGACACGACTGAACTTCAAAATTCATTGAACGAATAATGTCAGCAAAGAGGATACATAAATAATTCATTTCAAGTGTTGAGACGACAAAACAGCAGCAATAAATGAAAACAGCGCTTGACAGCAGCTCATTTTTCGTATAGTTTCCATAACATCACTTCTTGCTCAAAACTAAAGTCTTATCTCTACGTAAACGAACTCACCAGACGATAAACGATCAGACCATTTCTTATCGTACCATCTCTGTGTCAGGATCACTACTCGGACAATAATTCGATCAGATATCTTCAGGCGCTCAACCATGCTTCACTTACATCAACTGACTTATACATTAAAAATATGGGAATTAAAAACAAACTCAGTTTACATGACTATATATATAAAATTTAAGACACCAATAAAAGAACAGAGAGCTTCTTGCAAGTTCGTAGCGTAGAAAACTAGGCTCATTCTGCCAACAGCGGCGATTGTTATTCTCGGCACTCAGCGAGACGGACATGAGTGGCGGGACAAAGAAGAGATGCAATGAAGCGATATTTCCAGGAGCGTTTACTAGGGGAAGGACCACCGTATGCAGCGTGTACAACAAAAATGAAACGATGAGATATGTACACTAGGAAGACAACAGAAATAAGTAAGAATGAACAAAGAAACTAATAAAACTTTAAACAATAAACACGAACAGACAAGGAGAACCATAAGTAAATAAACGTACAAAATCGACTCCACAATAATTGTTTCAAAACACTATCTCAGCACAACAAGTGTGGAGGAGATTCAGCATGACCGCGCCAGCAGGTAACGAGTGGTATCAACCCTTCTAACAGTTAATTTGAGTTTGATCAGAGGCCACAAATTCAGGTGACTTGTGAACCGTTTAATTAGCTAACCAATTTCTACATGAACAACACTAATCCAAGTAATTCAAAAATATTTTCCTCGCCAGGGACTGCAAGAAATCTGGATCAAAATTACTTTGCGCAAGCATCAAAAAATTTTACTCATCGTCATATCATCTTAATTTAGCTAGCAAACAAGAAAAACAAAAGTTATTTGCAATAAAACTGGGTGTCTGAAGACAAGTGTCAGACATCGGATGATCGTAACTAGCACGGCAGGAGTTTGACCGACGCAACGCTCGGCAGCAGCGGCTAACAAGCTTTTATATCAATACGAACTTAATAATTATTTAATTAAATCACTATTGATATTAATTATATCACGATTGTAAATTTGAAAGAACTGGTATTTTAAATGTAGCATCACAAATCAAACAGTGCAAGTCACATCAAAAAAGCATAACAAAATAAAACCATGCAGGTCATATAAAAAACAGTACAAAGTGAAGGGTGCACGCTTTAGTTGAAATAGAGTCACAAATTGTAATAAGTTATATAATGATTTAAACCATTAGTTTGAGTAAAAGCACAAATTTAAAAGAAAGGAAACCAAACAAATTCACGATATCTTTACGCTGATTATACTTGAATTCTTGAAGTCTCAAAATGATGATAGCGCTGGCCTTCAAAACTTTTTCAACGAAATTCTTGTGAATCTACTTGACATTTTTTGTTAATAAATTATCAGTTATAATGATCAGAAGTATATGGTAAAAAGATTCATTATTCACACGGGATAGAATAAATAGCAGAATATACAGCACATATTTTGAGATCAGTGTTGATTAACGTTAGGCAAGCCTATTTGTTACAAATAGGCTTGCCTTTCATAACAATCTAGGCCAGTGTAAACGAATAGCCTAAACTTGAATGAATAATTTTATATTCTATGTTCAATAATTAATTTTTGTTATTATTACGTAATAATTTGTTAGAGTTATTGACAAATGTTGATAGGTATACAAAAAAAAAATGCTAGCCAGTGAAGGATAATAACATTCACATATCTTTGTGGTGCATTGCCAAAAATGTATGCAACGCTTTAAAGGGAAAAAATTTATAGTGTAATCAAAATATTATATAGTGGACTATTTATTTATGAGACAATGACACAGCAAAGACAGTACAAAAACTCTATGATAAGAATGTGCAGATTTGAAAGAATTTTCAATAAGGAATATGGAAATGTAAAAACACAATCACTTATGTAATGAAGACCATGTAAAAAAATTTCGAGGACAGCAGCTAGCGGGACGAAGCAAGTTAGCCTAAATTGGACCAATAATAAATCAGTGCATTGGTGATTAGCAAGAGCAAGAAGAGAATAAATGCACAGAGATCGAAGTCATTAGGTTAGTGCAAGACGGTGCCGGAGAGAACGTAACTGGTGTAGCGGTAACAAAAGAGACATAACTAGGAGACTGGCTGTGGCTTGCAGCACAGATAATTTCAGGAGCAGGTTGAGAGCGAACAGCTAGAGAAATGTAACCGCGTCAACTACTTCTGGGCTTTGAGGTATGAACGGCTCAGGTGGTTGCAGAGAAGGAGAGGCAGTAGCGTGGAAGGGGCAAAAGCACCAATGGTGAAGTGGCAGAAGCTCGAGGAGGGAAAGTGGCAAGATGAAGGGGAAGTGAAATGGCAGAAGGAAATGGAGGAAGGGGCAGAAGGAAAGGGAAGTCAAGTGGCAGAAGGAAATGGAGGAAGTGGCAGGAGGAAAGGGAAGTCAAGTAGCAGAAGGAAAGGGAGGTGAAGTGGCAGAAGCGCTGCGAGATTGAAAGAAAATTTTTATTTAAAGTTTTGAGTTATAGTTTATTTTGGATTTTGTTAACAGGTTTTACGGAAGTCTAGTTAAAAGGCTTGTTGTGGTTTTCATAAGCAGGTTTGTTAGGGTTTGTAGCTTTTTTAGTATTAGGCAAGCAAGATTTCTCAGTGTGAAATTCAGGCCCCGAGTGTCGAGAAGAAGGTTGTTTAGAAGCATTAATGCGTGCAAACTCTTTTTCACTTTCTTCTATCCATTGCTGAACCTCAGGCGACATTAGAATAATGGGAGGCGTTACCTCAAACATTGGAGCGCCGTTTGTGTGGAAGAACATTCCTCCGTCCCGCAAGTTGGGCCCACGTTTGCCGCTGAAGAAATCGTCGAAGCCCTGGAAGAAACTCTCATGGTCGGGAGAAGATGCAGTCGACTGTCTGAAGAAGCTGGAGAAAGCCTCTTCCTCCTCAGGAGTTCTGCCCGCTTTTTTGGACGCTTCATATGCGTCGTGGCCCATGCGGTCATATGCCTTTCTCTTCTCTTCATTGAAGAGCGTCTCGTATGCTGCAATTATTCATTCATTGAAGTGAGATTCATTTGAATAATTTCACGAATAATTTTAATAATAATAATTTATCCCGAATTATTCATTTGAATAATTTCATTTGAATAATCTCACATTCAGTGAACGTGAGCTTCATTCATTGAAGAGCATCTCGTACGCTGCAGGACACACAAGAAAGATAAATAAATAATGATCAGGCAGGACTATATTTATGCACAACCATTTAACCCTAGCTTATTATCAAGCACAACTGTTTGCAAAGGGTAATATCAGTAATTGTACATTTTAACAATGCTATACTATTGAAATTCTGTTTGACATAACGTCTATAGGTATGCTTATAGCCTAAGAACAACATGGATCATATTATATTATAGTATATCGTGTATTATGTAATATCAACAAATCATCGAGGAGTGATAACAAAATTATTTCATTAGAGCCGAGTTAGATATGGAAAGATATTTAGTAGTTTACCAAGTTTTTACTTCTGTTACCTACTCCAATAGCAGGATCAACAACTAATGCACCAAAGTTTACAGGATCAAGATTTGCACGTCAGTGATACATTTCTACTTGTTACTTCAGTGATAGAAAATCCAGCTGCTAATTTTGTTCATAATTTTTTATAGGGTAAGTCTATATAACCATGCTGTCGGAGAGGCAGACAACATCAATAAAAGTAATGTGTATTAATCAAAATATGGTCTATAGGTATGAATTTCACAGACCACATCGAGTCAATACGGCAAGAAAGACAGCCAGAAAAACTCTTGGTATTGAATGACATTTTTGCACCTCTTTCAGTTATAAAGAAATACCGTACTATACTAAGGTATAGCTTGATATTTTCCTAACTACATTTCATATGTAAATGATATTGAATGAATCATGCAGCAGACAGAAGTAAACATCAGGAGCACAACGAAGTTCATAGTGAGTTATTTGTTACTGTGAACACACCCGTAGTTATGGTCATGAACTTCTCAGAGGCCTTGGGGTCGTCACTCTTGTCAGGGTGGTGCTTGAGAGCAAGCTTCTTGAAGGCACGTTTGATGTCTGCCGTGGAAGCATTCTTCTCCACACCCAAAACCTGCACGGTTAAGTAATGAGCTAATACTTGCTATCAACTGTTGGGTTGATATTTTCATTGAATAACTAAATAGAATTTTATGCAATGAAGAATTTTATTCATAAATATTGTCATTTGACACCAAGGAAGCCACTAATGAAATTATAGTTTTCAGTACAAACAAATTAATATGTTCTATATACACATAGTTAAAAAACTGATAACAACACTTAGTATGGAACAAAAAAACTGCCTGAACTTCAGCATGGAAGTTGAAAGGACTAACTTGAAGACTGAGTCACAGGCTGGTTATTTCCAGTACAGATCATTCAATTTTCCAATTCCAAATAATATGCATTTAAAAAATTACTTTTTAAAGACATCACTTCAAGAGAATGCAGTGTCTCCAATTCTACAAATCTACAATGAATTTCTAATTTTACTTTCATAAATAAAAAATTTATAAACTTTATTTTTGAATAAAAAAATTAAATTTTTCATAATTATTTATATTACAAATTGATTCAGGTATTGTCTCAAACTTTATGCAAGTGTGCAAAATTTCAGATCGATTTGAGAGATAGAAGTGTTTTAAATATTGATTATAAGATTTGTAGCAGACAGACAAACAACAAGAAGTGAAATTAAAGAGAAGTGTTGTAATAAATAGCCTAAGCTTGAAAAAAAAAAAAATCCAACTCCAACTCGAAAAACTAACTTGGTGACCAGAAATCACTGTTTGCTCTTGAATGTTGTTAAATATGTAAAATTTAATTGACGTCTCAAAGAAGCAATCAACAGTGCAGGCAATAAAGGTTCCTAAACAGTACAGTATTTTTGCACAACTTACATTGCAGGAGAACATTACCTTGTAGTAGTCCTGTGTAGCCAAGATGTGGCAGACATTCAAGGCCAGCAGCAGCAGCAGGATATTTGGCATGAACATTTTGTGATCAAATGTTTGAGTACGGTATTGAAAGCTCTGTGTTGAAGGCAATAAGCTAAGCAATGAAGTTTCTGCACCGCACCAACCGTACAGTGTGTTATAGACACTTTATACTAATTATACCAAGGAAATGTTAAGGTAACAAGTCAACAGTGAGGTATTGCAGCACCAAACGGTACCTAAGTCAATAGTTTAAATTAAGCAATGATTTAAATAGGTTAGGCTCTTTAAGCTGACTTAGCAGTATAGGGCATAAAACGTTATTTGTGGCAGTTTGCGGTATGTATAATAAATCTTGAATATTTGTGAGTTTTGAGACTTGTTGAAACTTGCCAGTTGCTCTGTTGCAGAATCTGAAACAATTGTATAATGAGGGCCTGAATTATGCAGAAACAAAATAAAGGGAAGCTTTAAAAAATAAAAATTGATTTGAAATGCAGTTTCTACAGCTACTGAACTCAGAACACAACATGAATTTTGTCAGAGCACAAGACAAGTTGTGCCATCACAAGCATCAACGTAGAGAAAAACTGATGCTGCTGAGAGGCAGTCAATCAGTTTACTAAGTTACAAAACTCTTGATGCCTTCTGGTACCTTCCATTTATATTGTTGGCATATGAAGCTGGGCTTGACAGTCTTGAGGAAACAGAATTATGATATTGTGTTGGGTAGTATTGAAGAGTAGAAATAGGTTTTATAGTTGTTTATTCCAATATAAACCAATATTGATGACGCCATTATTAATATTAAACACAGCAGCAATCAAGGCAATCTAAATACTGATGAAGCCTTCAAGGAAGCTGATTTCATAGGTTTTCAAATATTGAACCCATCAAAGTAAGAAGGCTTGACTAAAATGATCAACAGGCTAGAGATTAGTAATGTGCTGGCCAGGGGACAGTCAGTCACAGGATTAAGTAAAGTAATGCTAATTGAAATACAAAATCATGGAATTTAATGGTCTAATTTGATAATACTAAAGTCTTGCTTCAGAAATGCATTCCTCAGAGCACATATATAACATTCATCTCATAGCTGAGTCAGAAAAATATCTACTGCACACCGCAGTAGATATTTATGCACAGTGTTTATAGATGAAAGGAATTGATTGAAGAGGCAACAAAAATTTAATCTCTGCAACTATGCAGCCATAATGAAAAACTCACCATTGCAATAAGAAGACAGCTATTTTGGATAAGCAGACAACTCAGAATATTAAAATGCTTGAAAAATACAGAGTTGGATAGTTAAAAGAAGATTATACATTTCATATAATTTATTTGAGACCACATTGGTACATATTTCCAGATAGAAAGTGGCAGAGTCATTTGTATTGATAAAATGCAATGAGTAATATTAAATAAATTACCTATATATTGACACTGCCCAAATGGGAGTTGAATCACTTGAATGGTTGTTTATGAAGAGGTAGTAATAATTGGAAATTAAATTATACACAGAAATAAATATCATTGGTTGATAAATATTCATGAAAATGTGCTGGACCAGGAATCATAAGATCTGAATAAGCCAAAGAAGATTGATTTGAAGTTATTTCAAGCTTATAAAGTTCAACCATCCACAACTTCAAATTAGCACAAGAAGTTTGAAGAAATTAGTATGGTGAAGGAAGGACAAAGATTGAATTGATGGTAGGTAATACAATGAGATGCATAGGTTAGATGCCGTCATTAATGCACCTCTTCACTAATAAATGAACTGCACCTGTGAATGAACACAAGCAACAATTTCAATGCTTGACTCTTAAGCTCATGCTTAAACTCTCATCATTCACATCTCTGAATGAATTTGAGCCTTTGAAAAATTTGATTACAAGCAGATGAAATATTGTGGTATCAAAAGCTCAATATGGTGTATAAAAAATATTTCCATAGCATATACACTTACTTCTCTCATCTCTAGGGTTTTTAAAAGAATTTCATGAGTATGTGAAATGCAAAGCAAGGTCTAGAGGCAGATCTTAACAATAAGATCAGCAAAATAACTTTATATTAAGGGCATGTATTTTTTGAAAATGTTTCACATTTCACACTTCCTAAAACAAGCTATGAAGAATATTCAGATTAATCTTATTAATAAAGATGCATGGCTAGTATACTTGGACTAGGATAAATAAGAAGCTATATATTATCAATTGAATGAATACAGTATACGGTATGATATATATTAAGCTCATAAAAACTAATAAAAACATGGATATAGCATACTAATCTTAGATACATGCATGACGTTTTATAAGAAATCTACAAGACACATAATTTAAAAATCTTGAAAGGAAACATTTTACAGTGATTCTATGATGTGACTAAAAAATGTTTCAAAAAACTTGTGCTACACACCATAATAAAAACTTGATCAAGATAAAAATATTTTTTACAATAACTTTAAAAAACGCCATTCAAAATTCTACATGACAGATAATACTTTATTAGTCTTCTTATTCTAAGTATTAGTCTAAACAGCATCACAAACCAAAATCAATGATTTTCACACATCACAACATAAGAATACAGTGGCTCTTTTTTGTAAATGAAAACGATGTAACCAACAGGATAGTTTGGGTTTGGAACCTGCTAATCAGTTCAACTCAGAAGAAACCCGAATACTTAATAAATACTGACAACTGAATGCACACAGCTTCTGACAAGTTTCATTAAAACAGTTCAAGGTAACATTTCATGCAAAAAAAAAAAAAAAAAGCAGGAGATCACTGGAGATTTACTGTAAATTAAAACCGATAATTTTTTTGCAAAAGGAGCTTGCTTCCAGACTTCCAAATATTGAATATAATCAAGAATGTGAACAAATCCAATGCAAAATTCATTCCTTCAGTAATGGGTACTGCATGATGCTGCCTCGTTGTAAGCAGCCAAAGTTCAAGGACAATTGGAAAGTATTGTCAAGTATTATTAATAACAGGTTGATATTTCTTTGTGTTACACAAACTTTTCTCCCTTTACACTACTTGAATGACTAAGATAAATGTAGCAAACCTAATCACTGGCCAACTATCACTATTTACTTAACTGCCTGAGAATCTTAACACAGTCATCACATGCTGTCTTCCATAATAGTCAATAAAGTGAACTAGAAATTTATTTATTATTTAATTAGACAAAATAGTGAAATCACTTAATAAGGTATGTTCTCTTCTTCACATCTTTGCATAATCAAGAAATTCATGATTTTTTACATATACACAACTAAGAAAATGAAGTTTGAGACCACATTTTTATTTTTTATCCATATTACCTAATGGGAGCTGAGTTTATAAGATGTAAATAAAAATATTACAAACATCTTTTGTTCTAATCAGCCCAAAAAGGTATTAGAACACAGAAAATAAAGTTAGATTTATTGTTCCCAAAGTGACGGCCACTCATCTCAAAACAGACTGCTCACATTATTGTACCTTGACATTTGATTGTACTAGCACCAGAACATGCCTGTAAGGCAAGCAAACGCACTAACCAGATTGAACACACTTTAACAAGATAAGATATTTAACAAGCTCAGTTATAAGAGAATAAAGAAATGTTTTTCCTGTCAAACAGAGTGTTCCATCAGTACAAAATTTGTAAAAAAACAATGGTTGTCAATTCATTCAAATACTGAAATGGAGATATCAGGCACATTTAACATTAAGGAGAAATTGACAAATAAGTTCTCAGCACACAAAGTTTATTTTGACAGTGAATTTCAATGACAAAGATAAACTTCCAATTCCAAATATATGAATAAAAAAACAAACTGGCACTTTCAAAAAGAGCATATCTGCAAAGCACCTTTTCTAAGCAGTCATTCTTGAAGCATGATTTTGGACTTCAAGGCAAGAATGCTGGATCTGTACATATTTTCTGCAATTCTGCCACCATGCAGCATGCAGAACTTGATAATAATTTTGACATAGACATTACCTATATTTCATGCATAACACTTTATAAATAATTTCATATTAAATTCTCTAGATTAGAATAATATGCACAATGTATATGAAGCAACCCAACATAAACCTTATAAATTAGCAAGAAGCAAAAGAATCATAGACGAAAAATTGAAACAAGTTACATATTGATCACTCAAACATGATAATTCAAACTGGGAAAGAAGAAATCAGTTATAATGCATCATCAATAGGAGGAACTGAGGCATCACACCAATCCTGTGGGTACTGAAGGGGATACGTCATAAGCTTCGATTCTTGAATTTTTTACACAGCAAACAAAGACTCCTGCCCAGACAATTGACTCCTAAAAACTGACAATTCAGCTTTTACATTCAAGTTAGTTAAATATACATTAATTAATTGTTTAGGACATTTTTTTTGTTACACAGATGTGTCAAATTTTAAATAAATCTTGCAATGAATGGAATCAGCAATAAACTTTTACACGCATAAGCATATATGCAATTGTAGTGTAATACACATGTGATTGAAATGACACTGAGAATGTAAATAGCAGTAGGAAATATCTAAGCAAAGTAATTATGAATAAAAGAAGATAAGTACCATCAAATGTGATAATACGGGATGGGCAGGATAAATCGAGACAGCCATCTGCCACAGCAAAAAAATGTTATAGCAGCGAACATGATTTAAATATTGCAAAACTTGAAAAAGTGGTGTAAACTACAACATTTTTGAAAAGTGATATCCTGAAAGTGTACTTCTGCTAACGTCTGTGATAAAAAAAATTTTGACGAATGAAAAATTTTCACTTGAAAAAAGTTGCAGACAGGTGTTGGCTTTAATACATCACTGACAGAATTTTTGTACCTTGATCCAAAACAAAATGATGGCCATTTCCACACAACTGGTTAAGAAGGAATCCCCCCTCCGGAGTAATATGGGACACCCCTAAAAATGCATTTACAGTAGAACCTCAGTTAGCAAAGGCTCCAGTGAACAAATAAAGCAACGAACAAAAAATTTTGATTACATTTACCTTACTCAGTGAAAGAAATCTCACTAAATGAAAAATTAATGCATCATTGGTCTTCACAAAATTATGCATAGAAAGTCTTAGATAGAATTGTGCACTGGGCAACATAGAATGAAAAATAATCAACCTAAACTATGATTTATTTCTCCAAAAAAATATAATGGTTGTCATTAGAATATTCCCTTCTGTTTTGGAATGTTTTTATGATCTTTTTCATTGTTTTAGTAAATTCACTTGACCCAATTAAAATAGTGCTAAATTACAAGCCCTTTTCTGTACGCTTACAGATACAGAAGAAATACTACATGGCTGCTGATATGAAGCTTGCAGTGGACAAGGTTGTTGTCAATGCTCAATGGCATGTCCATGGATACGGTAATATCATATCAATAATGGAAAAACAAGCAAAAATCACAGAAAATGTTATTTATTCTACATCTACATCATCTGAAAAGGTAGAGCACTTCAGAGAACTGTTAGTAATGGATGAGTACGCCCTGACTCTGCATGCTTCAAATGTTTTACGATTAAATTTTATTTCAAGTGTCCCCAAATAACCCCTTCCCAGTGGTACCAAATTCAGGATGCTCTTCTTTCATGTCTGGCACACAGGATTATTTTGCACATCGAATATTTTTTAGAGATGCCATATGATAGCTCTTGCAAAGAGCTTTAAAGTGAGCCCTAACTGGTTTATGAAATGTTTTACGGCAGGAAGTTATGAAAAACGCTCCAAATTATCCTGTTAGACAGTATCTCAAAAATTACTAGAAAGTTTATAATTGTTAGAACAAATCAAAGTAATACATGATAATCTTTAACAAAAGCACTTGCAATAACCATTTTCTCATGGCACATAATTACAAAACAGGCGCATCAAATCCTAGGGGCTCTTGCGCAGACATTTACAGCATGTTTTTCAAGACCAATTTTATTAATGAAGATCCCATTTGCCATTCTGTAACAATTCATAAACTCTAGGCTGACCATCGGCAAATAATGTTTTCATTGGCTGAGGATGTGCATCCAAAAGGTTGAACATGAGACGCATCTGGGAGCAGAAGAGTGGAGGTTCAGCAGAAGGAGATGTTGAGAAGTTGTCCAGTATTGCTTCATCTGAGAGTGTCTTGTAAAAGCTCCAAGGATGATCCGAATTGTTGTGAAAGGGCTTGATTGTGATGGAATGATTGGCACTGTCATATAGATCATTCATAGATCTTGTTGCAGTATACCAGACAGATGCAGCTCTGAGGGCTACATCCACACCATGGGATTCAAAAGATGCAGGATGAGCAGTTTTATTGATGCGGTCATAGCACAGGCCATGAAACAGTGGACGAACATGAGGCCTTGGATTTCTATAAATGATTGAGTTCAGCTCACAACAGCACCATTGTATCAAATTAAAGTCAAATTCAAGTTTCATAAAGTTTTTCAAGAGTTTCAATGATAGTTCTTGGGACTCCTTTAAACCCCTCACGTTTGCTTGATTATTGAAAAACCCGCCAATGGCATAAACTTCCAGTTTTCTATCATCACTATTGCCCACAAGTACTTGCAGGAATCTTGCAAGAGAACTATCTTCATGTCTACTCCCATCAAAGTGGGCTAAAGCAACACTTCCTGAGGCTTTGTGTAGGAACATGACAATGTGGCATGTGGTGGCATCATCAGAACCCACCACTTTTACTCTATTATCTGATCCAGGCACCACAGCAAACTCTCTTTGTGCTACATACAACAGCCCTACATCAGACACTTTTTTTACTGTGCCTGACTGCCAGTTTTTGGCACGGCTCACAAGTTGCGGATGATCTCGGAAGAATGAGCTTGTTGAAGCAGGGCATTTTGTCACATTGATATTATCCACAATTAGCACCATTTTTATCAATGTTTCATCAATAAGCACTCAAAATCGATGGCAGTAGAGCAAACACTAGCTCAGTTCATGATAGTGTATCAATGTTACGAAAGAATGATACGCACAGAAGCAGAATGATACAGTGAAGCAGATGCAAATAGCAGGATGGCTTCAAGTGGATCCTCCAACTCTCACAGCAGAACTCTTCATAAGTTATGGTCTCTGTTGAACAGAGAAGCCACATGATACATTCATGTGTGGATAGCATAATTAAAATATTCAACTATTCGAAGAAAAAACTTATTAACGAGATCTTTTCATGAATATTTTGGCATAATTTTTATGCATTACAAATGCCAGAACATTAAGGCAAACCCTATAATCTAATCAACCTGTTTATTAATCAATTTGTCTTCACATTTCATAAAAAATGCAAAAGGAATTCACAATTGAAGAACAAGTTGCATGGTTGAAGCATTATAGGGAATAATGAGCCAGCTGCAGAAAATGTGTGACAAGTGCAATGATTAGAATATTTGATCTAATGCGTTGGGATAAACAAATAGCTCTAAACTCTATGTATGTAGATCCATTATAACACACTTGCATTCTCTCTTCCATGTGTGTGGAAGTTGATGTGTGATAACATGAATTCTAGACATTAATGCCAAATTTAAACCATACATTACAGATGTTAGGGTAAACTTGATTGAAGCCAAGAAATTTGAATCAGAGTGAAGGTCTCAAAAATTATTAAATATTCATGCTTTCTCCTACAGTAATTTATAAAATAAAATGGGTTTGAGACAAGGTTATACATTTAACATTGGTCATTATAAACATTGTTAAATTTCAAGAACAACTATTTCTGCACTAGCCATTTTTTTTTGCAATGATTGTACAGACAGACATTATGGCTACAGTAATGAAGTAAAGAGCCACCTTTCATGTGCCCCAAAATAAATGCTTCAAGAAATGAGTTAAAAGGAGTGTCTTCTATACTGCAGCTGCTGTACATAGCGCCTTGGCTGTAAATATTGAACTCGATCATTGCCTTACTTCTACAAGTAAGCCTAATTCAAGGAGGAGTAATGCCAAGAGACACACAAATAGCTCTCTATTGATGCATTATGCAGCTAGTAATGTAATAATAGTTTGATTCTCATAAATAAGGGTTTGTCAATGACATTTTCTACATATTGACATACATAAGTAACAAGTATTGTATCTTCCTCAGATATTTTGGTACAAAAGGCAATTAAGATTATTTAGGTCAACTCTTGAGCTGATGTATCTAAGAGCAATGACATTCAATTGAGCAAATGTTGGCAAATATTTGAAGATATTGCAAACATTTTCAGGCAGAAGTAAACATGGCTTGATAATTTCAACAGAAAAATTATACTTTAAACCTAAAATACAACATTTTTATGGTCCAAAAATAATGATGAATGAAGAAGAAAATATAATACTGCTCCCATTATAACTTTATCTCAATCGCCTCTCAGATTAAGATAGGTAAACAATTCAAACATTTTTATTCACTTTTTCAGTATAATAGTATGACTTATTTCAAATAAAAGACATTTTTTCCATATTACCAGCAAGGAGATTCATCTTTGAAAAAGAAACATTTTGATTATCAAGAGTCAATTAAAATGGGAAAGCATTAAAACAATATCAACAAATGATGGTCAAAGAGACATATCTTCTCAGTAAGGAAAAGCTCCTTTTGTACAAGAGTATTGATTGTTGGCAAATGAAGCCCACAAAATACTAGATTTCAGAATAACGTGTGATCAATAAATGCAAGCAGAACACTTTTGAACCTAATCCTTCCAATATCTCTTCTAAAAAATATAATTGCTTGGGTAATTTAGTTGCAGGTGCAATGTTACTAAAATGATCTCGATTACATGACACAACTTCATCAAACACTCGGGACACACAAATCACAAGAAGAGAACATAATTAAATAGCAGGAGTCAATACATTCCAGTACATGAAGTTTCTATCATTTACTGTCAATCCAGGAAGCTTCAATGATTTATACTGTTAACACTTTTGTCAGCAAGTTACAAGACTCGGTAACATAAAAATCTTACTAGAATGTTTCTTCATATCTCTGCCATAGAATGAAAAGTAATTAACTAAACTATGATTTATTTCTCCAAATATATGATGGTCAAAATATTGCATTCTGTTTCAGAGACTTTTTTAACAAATTTTTTTTTGTTATAGTAAATTCACTTGACCCAATAAAAATGGTGCATAACCTAAACTATGATTTATTTCTCAAAAATATATGATGGTCAATAAAATATTGCCTGCTGTTTCAGAGACTTTTTAACAAAAATTTTTTCTGTTTTAGTAAATTCACTTGACCCAATTAAAATGGTGCAAAACTACAAGCCCAGTCCTGTAAGTTTACTAATACAGAAGAAATGCTATATGGCTGCTGATATGAGGCTTGTAGTAGACAAGGTCATTGTCAATGCTCAACTGCATGACCATAGATACAGTAATATATCAATAGAGGAAAACCAGAAAAAATTACAGAAAATGTCATTTATTCAACATCTATAAAGGTAGAGGAGTTTTTGGAGTACGGTACTGTTAGTGTTAGTAATAGGTGAGTACACATTACACTCTGCATGCTACAAACATTTTTAAATTAGGTTTTATTTTAAGCGTCCCAGATTACCCAACTTCCAGGGATAATTCAGGAATATTTTTTTTTGCATCTAGCACCTTACTATTAGCATATGGAATTTGTTTTGAGATGCCACATGATGGCCCTGCAAATACATTTAAAATGAACACAATCTCATTTATGAAACGTTTCATGGTAAGAAGTTATCAACAAAAAAAGCATCCCTTATCAACCCATTTAACTGTAATATGGAATATTGGAAAACTACACTTCTAGTAAAAATAAGGTAGATTTAATGTCACACAGGATTGGAATTACCCTACTTCAGTACTTGTTTTTGACATCTTGCAGCTCCAATGTGACAAATTTTCAACACATTTGGAATATCAAAGCCCAATTGTGTACTTTTGTTAACAAATAGATAAAAGGTAATTCATCTTGCAAAAAACTTTGCGTTCCACCGTTCCAGAAATGGCAGGACAGGAACGCTCTAGTTGCGGCTCTAAAGGTAGATGGTTTCCAACTTTCCATGCTTGAGGTCACATATTGATAACATAACAATTTGGAATACAATCATCAATGACAGTTGACACAAAGCTAACATGTTATATTAAATCATTTAACTTCATTCATTATGCTTCTCCAAGAAAATCATTAGGGTAAACGCGGTATATTCCGACATCGTAGGTAATTCCGTCACTTCTCAAGTTTTTCCTTTATATTAAGCTTTGTTTTAGTTCCATGCGTTCATTGATGGTTGAAATGGTGACGTCATACATTTGCTTGTCAAAATACTGCAAAAACACTAGGTCTTGGCCATCTAGTGGGAAAATATTGAGATCCAAAGAGAGACAATGCATGCCACCTGGTGAGATCATTGAAAAATGTGTCAAATTTGACAGTTGACCTTGCTCTACCAAATAGTGAATAACTGTTTTTATAGGAAGAATATTATGGTTTGAGACTTTTAAATACGTCTGTGAATATATTAGGAATCCTTTAAGTAAACTTGTATTTGCTGATTTCAAGTCGTAAATAAATTAATAGATGATTAAGTTGAGTGATGGATTTAGACCCATCAAAACTAATTCAGACACAACTTGAATTGGACACACACAGATCGTTCCAAGCTTTGTACAAAAATTGAAATTTGCTTAATTAAAAGCCTAATAGCTGTTAATTAAAACGTAATTAAGTAGGGTTCAACATTCGTTAGTGTTCTAATTCAAAGCCGTGTTGTATCCCAATACAGCTCACACAGCGAACGGAATTCGAATACGTTGATGTCGGCATTACGTATCAGTTAAATTTGAAGCGCTGACGCAATACGACTCACCACGTGTCGAATATTGCCACACACCGTGACAGAATATAGGGTTGGTAGGTTTCCATTCTAAAGGCTTTTTAATATATATGGCAACATTTTGTGACGTTTCATCGTTGCTGACGCGTAGTGAAGTGTTTTGAGAGTCACGTGAAGGCAACAGAACTTACGTAACGCATACGTTTTTTTTATAGTTTTTCATTTCTCAATGCGTCCTTAATGTGTCGGAATATACCGCGTTTACCCTAAATGAGAAATTCTACCTTCACCATTGAGCAAGGTTCCATCAATCACATTCAGAAAAAAAACTGAATTTATGGCTGCAAAATCAATTACCTCACAGTCTCACACTCGCATCAATTTTACATTGTTGGGCAGAAGTTTCCTAAAATTATGGATAAAAACAATCATTTCTTTTTTCACATGCAATGACAAAAATTAAGGGTTGCAAATGAGAAATTTTCATCATTTTTTATTGAAGATATCAGGAAAAGGCCATAGGAATGGGTAAAACTAAAAACTGGCCAGTTTTATAGGGAATTTTGTTTTGTTCACAGATGGCTTCTGCCAAATTTTTCCACTTAGGTTAAGTTAGGTAGCTAGGCACTTGCTCAGGCTCAGCTCTAAAAAGTGAAAATCAAGGAGCAGGTTTATGAAATCTGCAATTTCTGTGGTGTGTTTACCAGTTTTCTAACTAAATAATGTGCCAGTGTGCCTGAGCTAGTTCTTGTATCTCAACATATAGGAGTACCGAGCATGGAAAATATCTACCTTTAGGGCCATGACTAGAGCTTTCCTGCCACTGTGCAGAGAGTGAACAAAGATTTAAAGACCTACGGCGACGCATTATCGGCAAAATTTTCGCCTTCAGAAGATCTTGCCGACACATTTAGATTGAAATTCTTGCATTTAATATATTTCTCAGTCTTCAGCCAACTATTTAGAAAAAAAGTAAGGTTTCCGCACTTTCCGGTACGTTGGATGGATTACGATGCAGCGAAGCTTGTCCGGAAATCAGTTGCGATGAGTTCCTGCAAAAAATGTGAACAACATTTTTTTCGATTGCGTAGTTTCGGTCGCATTAGAGCGGTCAGACTGCTTTATTACTTGTTCAGTTGACACTTGCCGTACAACCGGACTGTTTTTAGGGTAAAATTAGTTATTTGGGGTAACACGTGCATGCAACCTTGTAATAAGTTTGTGGCTCGTAAATAGTTCGTCATTACTCAGCGTAAATGGCTTTTCATTAAAAATTACCCGGCGACGCATCTTTAAAATGGCCGGCGACGCTTTGGGCTTAAAAATCCATATATTGCCGACGCTGCATCCACCCTCTGCATAGTGGCTTTCCTGCGGCCCTGCCATTTCCATAACCGCAAGATTTCTGCCAGATGAATTACCTCCTTATCTAATTGTTAAGAAAAGTGTATGATCAGGCCGTGAGATTCCTAATGTGCTAAAAATTTGTCACATTTAAGCTGCAAGATTTCAGAAACAAGTAGGAAAATTCCAATCCTACTGTGTACCGTAGCGGCGTAGCTAAGTAGGACATGCCAAAACAATCAGTGTCGGTGTGTCCTACGCAGGCTACACTTGACCTTGTAGCCTAGCTTGAGTTATACTTAAGTTTAATGGGTTATAAATACTCTGAGCTACTTCATGATTTTATGCAAAAAATGTCAGGGAATAATTTTTTTCCAAAAAGCAGGACAAAGGAGCACTGACAACTTCAGTGGCAAGCTGCATTATTGCATAAGCCAAGCGGCCCAAGCCTAACATGGTCCTACGGCCTACCCTACCAGCCTACCTAATTCAGAGCCATATCTGAATAATCTGATCACACTACCTAGTACCTATTACTATAGACTAAGAGTATAGTCCCTACTCCCTAGCATAATATTTTAAGCTTTCAAAGTTATATTATAAGAAAAAGTATGCAAAGTTATAATACGAGACATTTGACCATAATAATAACTGGATTGATTAAGAAGAAAAGGACATAAAGTACTAAATTTAGGTTAGGTAGTTTAACTCACCACCAAGATGAAGATGGAGCATGGGTGTAAGCCAGGCAGCCAGGTGCTGACAACTATCGCCTCAAATATCTGTTACACAATGCACTAGATTTCTTTCCCAACTCTTGGAATGGAGAGCAGCAGTAAGTTTCGATCATTTTTCTTAGTATATTGCTCACTTTTCCTTGAGTTGAATTATTCAAAGCTAAATATACTAAATGCGTTTTAAACGACAAATAAAATGAATGACTTATGAAAAGTATAAAGTCATTTCCTAACTATAAAATTCCCTTGATTTTTAAAGCTTATTTTATTTCAGATGTGGGCAAAGGACGAAACGAAGCTTTTTCAAAACGAGCGATTCTTTAATGGAACACGTGCTGAGTACACGAGCAACAGCTGTATTGGCCAGTGAACGATATTACGTCATTGTTGCTGATAAAAAAAATTTCAAAGTCGACTTGAGGAAACTTTATGAAGGGAAATTCAAATTCGTTCATTGCAGTTTCGGAAGTAGAATTTACATTTAGACCTGATGCAGAATAATAAAAAAGGTTGTAGAGTTCGTAAAGATATAATAGTGATAACAATATCGCAGAGGAAATCAGAATGGAAAATGGATTTCATAGGAAGGATTTCTTGCATAAGCGCACGATTATCTAAAAAAACTGACTAGACTAAGTAAATGCAATTGATAAAGCATAATTAAAAAAACTGGAATTCAATTATAATTCGAGAACAATTGGTCGCACCGTCACCATTCTTGTTTAAATCAGAAACACGAATCTTTGGAGGCTTTTAAGATTTAAGGTTTGTACTATGCACATGTCAAGAAATGAGGCTCTGTTTTTAAACAGACTATTCCGCACATTACATTTTGCCTAATTTCCTCTCTTACTTTCCCCAAAAAAGTATTTAAATTACTCTTTAATTGCCCACACTTATGTAACCAAATTTTAATTAATTTATTACCATAGTATTTATAATGACACTCAGCGAATTGCGATAATCTGAACAGAATAAGAGGACTTTTTCAAGTTTAGCGAACATAAAGTAAGTGTCTACGTCAATTACAGCCCTGGAATTGCTGCTTCATTATGCTGTTAAATGACTATATAGGGAAGACTTTATCGTCTATGTAGCTCACGGATTATAGCAACAAGAAAATTTAGAGGAAGAACGAACGTTACAGGTGGATGGCTGGATGAAATCATGACGTGAGAAGTTGTTCGTTCAAAGGCCGATTGAAGAACGAAATGAGTAGTCAAGACTTTTGTCTGGAAACTAATAAATGTAGGCAGAGTGGCCCAGTGGTTAAAGTGAGCACCAGTTGTGGAACAGAGAGGTGCGGGTTTGATCTCAGCTCTGCGCGCCAGTTATTGGTCGGAATCGGCGAGGAGGCCGGGCGGTCAAGTAAAGCAAAATTGGAGCAGAGAGTTGTGAGTTCGAGACCGCAACAAGCTGTGAATGTTCTGCGATATTAAGAATCGGCGACAGGACTACGGCCTAATGAACGCTGGAACCGCTATATATATTTACATATAGACCACTTTGGTCTATGTCATATGGTCTATATAGACCATTTACATATAGACCACACCGAGGAGCTACCGAGATAGGAACACCTATCAATTCGTTGGTTGGTAGACCTCTACATCTGATTTTCACTTGAACGCCAATTCAGAATCGTAAATTAACCCTCATGCAATCGCTGAATGTGAGAGCATCATTGTTTGTGTACTGAAGCCACAATTGCGAAATTGAATACCTAACTCATTAAATCAGGGTATCCATGTTCAGTTGGAACGTCGTTTTAGAACAGAAAAATCATGCGTGAATATCTTACAACAAAATAATTCAGTAGAACCTATACAATTCTTGAAGGCGTTACCAGTATTTTCATGTACAAAGAACACGCTTAATTAAAGGGAGACCGGATGACTTTCTCATCATACTCAAATCATTACTATGAATGTTAAGAAAACTTAAAAAATTGTACAAAGACTAATCATTGCTTTCGGTTAATATTGAAGGCAATTATTTAATAACATGCTAATAGAAAATGAAAATTACAATATGATACAGAATTCTAAATTTGAAATGAGGAAGACGTTAATCCAGTAAGTAAGAAAAGTGTGGAGATAAGCGATACAGTTCCATAGACGGTTTAGATTTACACACACAGTTGATTTCATTCAAAGTGCTAAGCGTTTACGCACACCAGCGGTAACTAATTTACTTACTTTATTCTGAAGCTGCGACGAGCTTGAGATTATGCTTCGTACCGAGATTTTAAACCTTAAATAAACATCTATGTCTGGAGCAAGTACACCATAGTGAGCACTGCTACCTTAATTGCTTCAAGTTCAATAATGGTTGTACACGAAACTCGAGTCGATGGCACCCGCTTGTGGCTTTGGTTAGAAAAATTAAGCGTATTTTAATGGTCTGGGTAAGAAAAAAATGAGCGTTTCTAGAAACACAACAATAAATTTATTGTTTATATTCAACATATAAGCTTGTGAGCCGTGTTTATATTTCATCTGCAGTGAGAAAATTTTCTTTTATGAGCCGAATTATACAATCTCCAAATTTAGAAGCACATACATTTTATTTAGTTTACTTTTCCAAAGTACTCTAAGGAGCTTTGGGGATCAGGCTTGATGGTAGGGGAGTCCGGCTGCCAGTTCGCTGGACAAACTGTAAACAAAATCAATAATTACTCACATATGGGTAATTCAAAAAAGCATCAATAATGGGTTCTAAAGTTTTGCAAGAGGCTTTTCATGTATTACCGTAATGGTACCAAAAACAACCTAGTAATGCGATGCAAGAACGTTTTGTTTCGACTAACGGTACATTGAGCCGTGCTTCATGTTATTTAACCAACGTACGTTCCCAGTTGCTCAATTTTTAGGTAAATTCAGTAAATCTGTTCACGTTTGAGGTATACATTGACGCTATGTTAACCGCTCTCGTTTCTTTATACAAAATAATGCAAAGTTAAGCCATAATCTGTGTTTCAAACCTGTCTATTTAATAAAAATATCATAAATGGGCAACAAGTTTATGTTCATAAGGAACTTAGCAGCCACCTTCTCCGTGCTGGTCGACGAACTGGAAAGCTTTGACAAGGCGCAGAGTCTCATCCACCGACCGCCCCACTGGGAGATCATTGATGCTCATGTGGCTCACAATGCCCTGAAATAATGATACTGATTAATATACAAATGATAGAACTACTATGAGGCTACTGCTGGGATGTGTATATAAATGATGTAGTTGAAATTGAGAGATAAATGGCAAATGAGACAGGTAAGGATGGGGGAAAAGAGTGAGTCATAAAGGTGAGGATAACAGACAAATCTGAGGTAAGTGTGGTAGGCGAGGATGCAAGATCAACTTCAAACAAATTAGTTTTATGATGATGGCGTTCAGAAAACAATGTACCTGTGGATTGATGAGGAATAGGCCTCTGAGAGCCACTCCGTCGTTTTCCAGCAGCACTCCATAGTCGCGGGAAATGCTCTTGTTGAAGTCAGACAACAGGGGATATTTGAGGCCACCCAGTCCTCCTTGCTGGACGCAGAGCAGGGAAACTTATAATATTGCAGATATATTAATTCTATGTCCTGTATTAAGTATGCATTTCATTTTAATGAAAGTTTAATCGAAACATTGATAGGATATGAATTTAAATGCCAGAAGAATCAGGCACCAGCAACAAAAATCTTCTAATTTAAGCAGAAGCCTCAAACAAGGCAAAAAATATAACTCAGTAGTACTCACTGCAGTGAGTGACAGAGAGCGCATTTTCTCGTCGACGAAAACGCGAAGTCACGGACGGACAGACAGACAGACAGACGGACGGACAGACGGACGGACGGACAGACGGACGGACGGACAGACGGACGGACAGACGGACATGGCAGGCACAATAGTGCATTTTTTCCATTAATGAAAAAATGCGCTAAAATGATCAGTTGCTCAGCACTGCACAAAGAAATGGAAAGTTTCGAAGAGGACAACAAATGCAAAGATTATAGCTTATGCAGCAGCAGAGCTGTGGCTATAAGACAATATGCCACACATGCCAGTCTGCGTAGCCACAAAACCTTGCTGAGTGAAGAGTGAGGAAATAACACAAAAAAAAGTGAGCATTCAGATTTCAGGAAGACCGGACTAAGGTGAGTTTAAAAACGTAGGTTGATCAAGGCATTAGAATATGGAAGCTAGAATAAAGAAAGGAGGCTTCAGTTTATTGGAGCTGATAAATGCCTCAATTCAGCATAGGAGCTCAATGAAGTCCTCACAGGTGAGAAATGAGAGACTGACGCAAAATGTGATCTTCTTACAAAAATGACTTTATGAATGTTGCAAACTTATTGCTATTAAAATAATAAGTGTGGTGTTTACCTCAGTAGAGCATTGATGTGCAATTTGTTACTTAATATTTCAAAAGGATTGAAATTTTGAAAATTGTTCTAGTTGAAGCTAAAGAAGTACTATCCACAGACCACTATGCAATTGCAGTTATCGCATTCAAATAGAGGCTAATCTTTGAAAGAAAATCATTCAAGGCCAGTGAAATGATATTTACTCTAACAAAGATAAAAGACATACGTAAGTATTGAGTATAACACACCTTTCTAGGCAAGTTTATCCAGGCCAAATGGGAGAAGTGCGAGTCAGTTGACACGCCCACAACTTCACAGTTGAGAGCCTTGAACTCATCCATCCTGTTGCTGAAGGCTATGAGCTCAGTGGGGCACACGAAGGTGCTGCACAGAAATATATCAAGAGCATAAGGATTCATTTATGTCAAGGGTACCAATATAATTAAGAAAAAGAATCTAATGAGATGGTTGGAGGTACTCAAGGATAAAAATTCAGGAAGGAGAGTAGCCAGCAATGGTTTCAGACATTTCATGTTGAGGCATATAGAATCATGATGGGGTAGGATAAATTTATGATTATGAGGTCACTCAATATTTTAGCACAGAACACAGTAGTAGTATTATACAATTTTGGCTTTGAAAATCTGACCACTGTTCATAACCCAAATAATATGAGTTTAAAAATTACTTTTCAAAGACAAAACTTCTAAAGAATGCAGTGTCTTTGATGTTACACATGTACAATAAATTTCTAATTTTATTTTTAAATATTGAAAAAATTAATTAAAATTTTTTTTTAATATATAAAATTATGTAAATTTTTGAAATTATTTATTCTGTCAACTGATTCATGCATTGTCTCTAACTTTATGAAAGTGTACAAAATTTCAGATCGATAAGACAGGTAGAAATATGTTAAATATTTGTAGTAGCAGACAAACAAACAAACAAACAACGAGAAGTGAAGTTAATGAGAAGTGTTGTAAAATTAAATTAAAGCCACTTTTTGAACAATTTTCATGTCAAGCAATCTTGAGCTCTTAAAAGCAATAAAGCTATGTTTTCTGAAAATTGCCTAAATTCTTTGAACTTGCATAATAAAATATAAAGAATTTGTAGTAACCGGTAATTGTAATATTATTTGTCAGGTACAATAATTTCATCAAACTCCCCGAAAAGTTAGCAAAACCTGTGACAAAAAAACATGAGTTAAGCAAACATGGCAGCATGTTAAATTTGAAACAGCACAGTCTCCTATATAGCAATGTAAAAATGAAAATAATTTCTTTCTGAGCATTGAATATAAATTCTAGGCTGTAAATACAGATGGCAAAATAAACCATCCCAAATTAAGAAAGAAAATGGCTTGATAATTGCACCTTAATGGAAATTAAGCTTTGTTCTATGTTCATAGAATGCAATCATAGACACAATTAGTTCAATTTAATCTAAAATAATAATACTCACAAATCTAGAGGGTAGAAGAAAAACACAAGATATTTGCCGGCATAGTCAGTAAGGGATATTTCTTTGAATTGTCCATCAACTACAGCCTGGCCCTTGAATGCAGGGGCTGGCTGGGTGACTGCAACTGAGTAAGCTGGATGTGTGGTGGTCAAGGAGCGTGCCAATGGCAAGGACGTGGTGCTTCCAGCCACACATTGGGGAGCTAAAAATGATGCTGACCCAAATCTCCAAGTCCCACTCACAATCTGCAAAATTACAATTTTTAGAAAGTTCAACTGACATACAATAATAAAAAATTCAGTAACAAAGAATTTGCTTTGGCAGAATGATTTTGATTGATATCAAAATAATTGCAACAGGCATAGATTGTCATTAGCTGCATCCATACTGTTGCTATGAGGTTACTGAACCTTTGTTGCTAAACCCTCATCATCTCATGCCTTTTATTGCAAATGTGTTACCACCTATTTATTTTACATGCATTCACTTATGTCCTTTTTTTTCAGCTGCACTAGCCACTAAGTGGTGACAATATAGCCTAAGTCAATTCCATTCCTATAATTGTCAATTCTACAAGTAAATTCCCAATTTAACTTCACCAAGGAGTATGCTGACAGAACTGACAGGTTTTCCTGCATCACTCTGAAGAGCAAGTATTGGTAGCAATGGTAGGGAATTACTAGGGATGTTTCATGTATATGCAATCTTCTTAGGTTAATGCAATTAGAAGCCTGTCTCTGTAACTATTTAATTGCTAAGAATGTCTTAATCACAATTACAGAATTACTTAGTAGGCTATTCCAAAATAACTTTACTCTAGATTCTCTAAAAATTAACCTAAGCCAAGCCATAGCCCTTTCAGTTTTGTTTGCAATTATTGATTTTTATTCCACATTCATTTTGCATTCAATTGTTTCAGATTGAATTTACCTGATGATTTTGAAGAAATTGAAGTTAGCCTACCTAGGTACGTATGTTCAGTATTGTTCACACTTCTTGGTATGGTGGAACCAACTACCAACTTACCAAGAAGCAAGAAGTGTTACAATTCTTATTTAGTCTATTCTTTTACTTTCCCCAACTCATTAGACATTGAGTGAAGAATTGGTTTAAAGTCTGGCCTGGAGTGGTTGGTGGTTTGCACTTTGCAGTGCACTTTTTACCAAGTTAAGAGATGAATGAATAGGATATCTACCATGATGATGCATTGATGCAAGATTTAAATAGTCTATTTAGAAAATATTTTGGCTCCAGCCTCTGGTTGTGAATTTTGGGTAAATTTAAAAACTTTCAGCTCAATTCTACAGTTTAATCAACAATTAGAACCAATATAGCTAAGCTATCTATGATAAATCTTATGACTAGGCCTACAATCACAAAATTATCAGGGGGGAGCTTCGGTCATGGCTTCGAAAATATATTTTTAATCCTTTCATCAAGTGACTAGTAATACACAGTTTTAATTTGATTTTTATTGCCAAGCAAAGTGGAGACAATGTTACCAGTGTACTGACTGTACTCAGTGCTGAAACTGGAGTTACCTACTGCTTACTGCTACTCAGCTACTGGACATTTAATGACATATTATATTCTGCAACGCCGATAGTGATACTACCATCAATATACTATACCAATGAATTTATTTTATGCTGAATATTAAAGACTATTTCCAAGTACATGAGTGATATATAAGGAAAATATTACTCACCTTGAATAAATTTCTTGAAATACTCATGACGTAATGTCGTACCGCTTGTCGACTGTCGTGACGGAACCCGATTACTTCTCGGAGACTCGTGTGTACTAAATGCGGCACAAGCGTACGATGCGTGCCAGTGAACCGCCACCAGCTGTTTCAGTGACGCCTTTCTACAGCAAAGTGAGCAAACCGTATACGATTGCGCCCTATTCCTGCGCTGGCAATGAAATAAAGTAAAGCGGACAAACGCTCTAACTTTCTTGGCACAACAATGTCCAAAATAACACTATTAACAAAGTATTTTATTTGATCTTAGAGCTTCCACCACAGAATCCGATTACCCGTTAGGCACGTTCTCATTAATCTTCGACATTTGCTCAGTCCAAAATAGACATCCGAGTGTTCGAAGTTCGAATAGCAAAGAGAATTATTTTTGGAGGTATAACGCATGTATTTTCAAATAGTATAGTAATGTCAGCGTTAATTAGGCCATAAGGCAAGGTGGCCCAGTGGGTAAAAGTTCAGAGTACCAAGATTGGCGCAGAGAGGCGCGGGTTCGATCAGGTCTGTGCGCCAGTTTCTGGTCAGAATCGGCAAGCAGGCCGGGCGGTTAAGCACGGTAGAATTTGAAGCAGTGAGTTGCGAGTTCGAGACCGCAAAATGCTGTGAATGTTCTGCGATGTTAAGAATCGGCGACAGGCCTACGGCCTAATAAACGCTGAAACCGCTATTATTATTATTATAAGATCTGTTGCAGTTTCTGAACATCGCGGAATATTTACAGCTTGGTGTAGTTTTGAACACGCAGCCCTATTATCCAATTTTGCGTTGTTTAAACGCCCGGCTTCGTCGCCGATTTGACAGAACTGTCACAGTCGTAGGAAGGAAGCTAGAACCGTACCCTTTGCTCGCTGCCCCAACCCTGGTGCTGTTAAAACTTTCAAAATGAAAAAGAAGAATATACTATGATAAATACACCAATGTTTCAGGATAAAGAAAGCATGATCTTTCGTCCACATGTACTCTAGATCTGTTCTGTACAATTATGTGCAAGTTCATGAAAAATAATCAGATGAACCAGTTTAACTTCCGTTCTTTAGCTGCCATATTATCAAGGCATAGAGATGACGGAATGTTACAATGTAAAATCGATTGTTCTCGAATCTAACAAACACTAATGGTCACGCGTAAATGCATGAACAAATAACGATTTAATTGAGCTTTTAAAAAGAGCTAGCAATGCTTATCGAACTTCGAGCGCTTCCTGACATTTCTAACACAATGTGAGCGCAAGGTTGCTTCTTGTTGCTGGACAACGGCAAGCTCTACTATTAAGAATTTGCCGAGATAAAGGACTAAAAAGCGAATGAAGGGATTCCTGGCAGAGGATACGAAAAAATGACTTTTCTTACTATTAATAATACGATCACATTACAAGCTAAACACGCCCTTACTTATTACACAGAATTAGATTAAAATAGATACATCAATCATAGCAAGTTCATACAAATATAAATTCATTTTATGAGCTCTCGTAACTAAGTAACTAATACTGGTAGTTTAGGGTAGTCAAATGCGTGGAATTGAATGCAAAATAATGTGTACCGTGAAACAAGTAGTGAAGTTTGCTGCAAGGGTGTCTGCGATGCAACAATTTAGGTCTCGTTTAAACTCCTTCGAGTTTGCATTAGTAATACAACGCCTAAAGTTCTGAGTATCGTAAGACGTGTATCAGTAAATCACAGTGACGAGCTGGATTTAAAACGCATCGTATTTAGTGGCGTAAACTATATGTATAGTTATGAATAGTAGCCTTGATTTGATTAAGATTAGGTGATTAAACATCAAGACTTGACTGGTAAAAAGTGAGCTACTGCTCGACAGGCTTTCGAAATTTGGTCATTGACCTGTGAAATTAGCTTGCACCAGAAATCGCTCGGAAAATTTGTGTGGACTTCAAATATGTTGAGTCACTCCGAAATTATAATTGATTTTGTGACCGAATTATAACTACAATACAGTTAGATAGAACACGCGAGCAGAGTAGTCAAATAATTATCCCTTTGACGTATACACGCGGAGTAAAATCATCAAATAGAGAGGCAGCGCAGCATAAAAAAAAAATTTCCTTATGCTAACTGTACTATGGAGCTAAATTAGCGAGCTATTGTTACAGTAGCATCTGTACAGGAAAAGAATATTCAATCTTAATAATTTTAAAGATCGAGTTCGAGACTCCGATCTTAGCAGTGGCTGGAGCTATTAGTTACTGGAATAGCGTTTACTATTAAAGATGTTGGCGCACATTAATTAATTTTAATATGCGTGGGAATCGTACGACCCAAAAGTATCGTATTTGAGTCCAAAAAATTCTAATCTGAGACCAATGATTCGCATCTAGAGCAATAGATTCGTAGCTGACAAAAATTAATCGTAGTTATAGGTAGCCGATTAATCCATTTCTGTGGCAAACAGAGCTTCCATCGTGAGGGAACAGCGAAGAGAATCAAATGTCGACACGCTAGCATGATAGAAAATGTCGACAAACTACTATTTTAAATGTCAACACGCTAGCTTCATTGAAAATGTCGATACGCCAGAATTATTTGAAATGTAAAAACGCTATCATGACTTCAAATGTAGACACATTAGCAAGATTTCAAATGCCAACACGTAGAATGACAATATAATTGCAAGTTGACAATTTCCCGGACGATAAGCCAGCTGAATCGCAGTGGGAAATCTCATCAAACATTCAACGAGATATATTGAACTTATGGATACCAGTGCATTAATGTTCGAAGGTGGTACACATGTTGAACATTTACGATAAGTAGGAATAAAATGGTGAGGTGTAGCTTCTGAGCGACCAGTCACGTTCATCAAGATTGACCATATTTCTGAACATTCGACGGGATTATATTTTCAAAAGAGTGAGTAGAAAGATTGATCATAGTTCACATATCCGAGTTTATAAGCTATTTGCTTCGTCCAACCCAAGCCGATTACAGACACGAATATTTTAAACATCCATTGAGGTGCTCCTACTTGAACCGGCGGAAGTATGTTTATAGAAAGAATAAAACAAGCTAAGAAAATATCAAAATTTTAAAAGATGAAGAGAGGAAGTAATCCTGATTAGAATGTGATTAGTCCCTTGCAATTTATCATATATGAACCTCGTCATATTTTTGAACAGTGATTGTTGTGGAAGGAGGCGGAAAATTAAGAGTCGAATATTTTGTTTGATTACCAGGAGTCGTTGATGCTTTGAAGTCTTCGACTGGATGGAAAATTTTGAACGTTTTTGTCTTATTCTCGGGGAAAGAAAGTTCAGCGTACACGATGTTGTTGGCTTTCGGAAATGTTGTGGTCAGGTGGTTGCCAAAGTTGAAGCTTGAGGGACCTTTTTGCCTTTTGACAATATTTCCCATTTTATCAAAAGTGGGACTTGAAAAACTCTCGCAAGCATTCGTAAACAATGTAAATTTTCTGCTTTGGTCATTTACATTGACAGGTTCTTGCAGGCTTGAAAATTCTTTCTCAAAATAATCCTGGGGACGATTCGAACTTTCATTGCTCAGCAGTGACGAGTGAGCTTGAGGAATGTCGCCAGCTGTTTGTGCATCAGAAAGTAGCGCAGCTTCGTAGTGGCTAACTTCGTCAATGAAAGAAGTTGTAGCTTCAGTCGAACTGACAACGGAAGCCACAGACCTTTGTGATGGATATTTGACGGCCAGAGCTCGATTTAATTCAGAATAAAAATTCAGTTGAGAGTTTGCATTAAGTCTCGGGTCATTCTTTGCTTCAGGACCAAAAATTTTGGCTGCGTCTTTAGCGACGTCGTTAGTTGCTGAATCACCAGGTTTGAGGCGAATTGAACTCGTTTCCAGAGTCTGTCGGTGTCGCTTTTCTTTTTCTTTCTGCTGTTCTCGCATTCTAGCTCGCAGAGCCTTGGCGACCTCCACCACAGCCTGGGGCGAGATGTTGGAAGTGGTTATGTATCCGCTCGATGATCGTTGTATTTCACCCACAGCCGAGTTAACAGAAGAAACGTCCAAGCGCAGGCTAGCAGTCGAATCTTTTCTTTGGACGATCGATGTTATTGGATGAATGTTGATGTTTGTCTGCGATGAGGTTGACTTCATTTTCATGTTTGAATCGGCAAAACGTAAAACTGGGACAGCCGCATCTTGGCTTGCTAATACTGTTTGGTTAGAAGAGTTTTCAGGAACTGAAGTCGAATTGGGAGCTTCAGGAGAGCGGACACAAAAAGCATTGTTATCGTAGCAGTGATGAGTGTCTTTGCTATCAAACGCAGCTCTAACTAAATTCTCTGGCGAAGGCTTTGAAATACTCAATAGCGCTTTCTCAATCTCCAATCTTTTTTTCTCGTTCTCGTCATTTTTCTTTGGTTTACTTTTTGACGAGAAAAATGCGTCACTGTCATCATCTTTATAGATGATCTTGTTCCATAAACTTTTAAATTTACTTCTATGAGGAGATTTTTTCTGAATTTCTTCTCGAAGGTCATTATTTTTATCAGAGTTCTTCAAAGTTACAATGAACCTATCATCAACTATCGTGCTCCCGTTGAAACCGCTGTAAAACAAATTTTCCCTAACAATGTTTGAAACTGAGTCGTTATTTCCGAGCGACTCTTTCTTGGTTGTTACAGACGACGATACTGCGATATTATTGGTGGCACCTTGTGTTTTGATGCCTTCCTTTGCTACATCGGCACCGCATGGTTCGTCTCGACCAACGTCGATGCCTCGCTCACTGACATTGTCGTGCAGCACCTCGACCATGACCATTTGGCGAGACAGATCTTCACCGATGACGGGAATCGTAGAGTCATGGTTCTCTGTTATGCGATGGAATTCGTCAGCATTGAAATGCGATGTATGTAATTTTCTGAGGTCAAGCGAACTAATCTGTACGGCATTACCATCGTTTGATTGGGGGTCGGAATAACTGCAAGGAGGAGCAGGTAAGCTATGAGGCGCATTATCATTATTAAAGACGGCATGCGTTCTATCAGGCTGTTGCTGTTGGGCGAAACTTTGGAGTGAAACGAGGTGACGCAGATTGTTTTCAGGTATGACAGGCTTTATATATGGAAGAGAGGGAGGTGGGATGAATTGAAGATTGGTTTGGTGATGCTGTCTCTGCAGGCTGGCCGTGAGCTTTTGTTTAAGTTTTTCAACGTTCGAGTATTCTTCAGAGTCTTCAAAGGGCTGTGGCGGTTGCAAGTGGGGTTGGGAATTCAGGAACTGGGAATGCTCTTTGGTT